ATATTCTGAGAACTTATCAGCGTTACCTGAAAGGATTAGAATTATAATAAAGTGAGAGAGGAGCCACCGCCGTTCGATTATAGACTCATCGCTCGTCTCGCTGAAGTCCTTGGACTTGTTGCAAATTGTCTGGAAGCCGGCGGGGAGCTGACACCTGCTCGCCCGATCAGCTGGACACGCTCACATTCACATACGCTCCGCTTGCTATCATCATCGGTTCCCATCTCCACTCTGGATTCGAGCACGAGCAGTTGTAATCTCACTCCTTCGCAAAGTCTAGCGCGGAACTCAGTTTCCGGTGCACAGGCTAGATTCAGGAAGCTGCATCCGAGGCATCGTCGAGGGGACTTGACGACCATCTCATAGTCTAAAGGTGAGTGCGGAGATGGTGCCGAGTCTGCTGGGACTCGGGCTCAAATTCCAGACAGATTAGTGCCATGGCGCTTTAGGAGCTCAGGCTCGAGCACGTCCGCATCTCAGACTCATGGGATCATAGTGTTGGGGCTTCTCCGGGGCTTTCGGCAACATTCTCACCGGTCTCACTTTCATTGAGAAGCAGGAAGTCGTCTACTCCACTTGTTGCAAGCCCCGCCTTATCATGATTAGCTACCGGGTAGGAACTAGCATCCACGAACGCCGTGTTCCTGACGCGAGGACAGGCCTGCTTAATGACACCGGGTCAAGCCTTCTTTGGCTGTCAGTCCCGACCCGGTGGTACTCTCCATTCCCCTAATTTGGATGACAAAAGATTTCTCGGGAATGGGCTGTGGTCGCTCGATCTCGGCTGGAAACAACTTGATGTGCATTTTGCGCCAGGCACTGCGAAGTCGCTGATTGTTCCCCCGACGCATTTTACGTACTATGACACCGATCGGAAATGACAGGCCCAGCGGGGAAATGCGGGATCGCTGTCATCATTCCCCGTCGAGCCTCCCGGGGCCAGAGTTCCTTGATGGCCCGATCGCAAACTCCTTATTCTGGTCGCGATTAGGATCCACGATTCGAGGCCCCCGCATATCAGTCGTTTCGCTTGTCGTGGGGTTCGTCAGCCGCGCCCTGGACCTCCATATAGTAAGGTTCCTCCGCGACGAATCCCCGTCCCCTTAAGAGCCCCCGTGCTCCTCGCTAACCTGACCACCGAGCCTCGTGTTGCGGTACGCTTGATCAGCCGACGTTCGGACGCGAACGTTGGAAGAGTTCCCGAGAGAATAAACGCATCCGACATCTGCTCGAATCCAGAGTCCGCAGCTCGGACAGGCGCGTGCCCAGGATTGTTTTTCGGAGGGGGGGACAGGCCATTGTCTCGGTAGGGGCTCACTACCGATGATGATGAGACTCAACATGTAACTCTACGGGCCAGAAAGAGATCCCGAGGGGGGGGCATGGCCCTTCCCACCCCCATCCCCCTTCTGGGCACGCCACTGAGCTCGGATCGTCTCGTTTTCGGATTGAACTTTCGGGAAAGGATGGTGTCCGAGCGCAATATCGGAGGTACGAGGAAGTAAGCGCGGCTTCGGATCAAGATGACGGCAGAAGCCTCAGAGTGCCATAGAGGCCCCTGAGGTCATCGACTCGAGATAATTGTTCCTGAGGACACATATTTCCAATCGCCCCTCGATATGGAGAAGAGGAGTATAATTTGGAATATTATACTTCTCGAGTTCTCGACTGCCACCTAAGAGCTGCTAGAAGCCGCGAGGAGTTTCCGGGATTCGCTGCTTGGACTTTGCTGCGGAAGTCTGTCAGACTCGGTTGCGAGCGACTGCGCGAGAAAGTGAGGAAGGTCACCTCAAATCGGTGAGGACAACTATTCTAAGTGCATCCGGGTGTCATCCGGACTTCGCCCCGGGCAAGCGTGCACACAACCAGGCTTCTGTCGGCAGCAAGACTTGGTACTGATACCCACGATAGCGACTTGGGTCTCGGGACCATTATTGGGAGTCGGCTCCTACTCCTCGAGGATATCGTCTCATCCTCGACCTCCAGCTCCCTTGGTTGGTTTTGTGCAGATATCATGCCCCCGCCCCTCTACCGGATATTCGTAGGTTCCCTCCTCCGAGACAGCGCCAGCGTCCTAGGCATCTGATCGCCGAGGATTCGGGCTCCGATTCGGACATGACTGATCATGAGATGAAAAGTTGCGCCGAGTCCTTCGTGGCGAATCTTCAATTCTTATCGGCTGCGGATTATTGAAAATTCTTCCCAAAAGCCGGCAACTCGCTTGTCGATGCGATATCCAATGCTTCATTCGTTGGGATCGTCGAATCTTCCTCCACTCTCTTGGACGGACTTCATTTGGATTCTCAGACAAGGGTGGGTTGGCTTCAGAATAGCGACTGTGGCGGTAGTGGCAGCTGAGGCGAATGTGGTGAGACGGGGACAGCGGCATCTGTCTTCTCCGGGAAAAAAAAGTTTCCCGAGGCGCTCGAGACACGCGGATCTCGAACGGACATGGAAAGCATTTCACGAGCAAGGGCAAGAAAGTTCTGAGACATCCGACCCTATCGATTGTAGCCTATAGGTCTGGATCAGACGCCACATACAGAACTGGAGACACTTATCCGATGGGATTATCTTGGATCTCCTGCGAAGTACAAAACGAAAATGACTTCCCTCGAAAGAAGTCACGAACAATAAGAGGCATTAAGAGCTCCGGGGTAGCAAGAGATCAAGTAAATAGATGGAATTTGAGCACGCAGTTCATCGAGAGACATAGGTCTCAGCTCGGAGTAGGTTTGGATGCCCCGTTGTGGAGGCTCCTTCAGAAGTCTCCGCTCTTTTGCTTCTGGGTACATCTGCACGACTGGTGAGGTGGGAACCAGCCCCTCAGGGATCTTGCTGTTTTTCCATTTTCGTCTGCCTCCCTTTTCGAAGCTTGAGGAATGATTGAAGAGAGGCGAACGGGCTGTGCGTCAGATGAGCAAAGATTGAGAATAATGCTGGCTGTAAGATGGATGTCACCCCAAGAGCCTCATATTCCGGAGAGCAGCGGCAAGAAAAACGGGGACTCGTCGTGAGCGATCGACATCACGAGAGAAACAAAAAAGATGTAGGACGTGAACGCCCATTAATTGTGGACACCTTGTATCAGGTTCTCGGTTCTGATCACCCTGAAGCTAGATGCATGAGCATACCGTATCACCGGACCCATGCTAGTTTGCATGGCGGCCTTCTACCATTCACCCATCTCTTACACTTTCACCTACTCACTGTTCCATGCCACACATCCGCTGTCAGTCGGTCGTGGGCCGCCCAACCAGCAGCTGTCTCCTCGTATCCGCCCGCGCGCCGCACGGGAAGCAGCAAGTGATCGTTCATTGGGTCGAGCGCAACAAGACCCTAATAGTAAAACATTGCCGCGAGGATCGACGTCACCGTCGCTATCGTCTCTCATATGCCTGTTTTTCGTCGCGATCCGTGCTCCTTCCTCGTCCCCGGTACCGTCTGTTTCTCAACGGTCGTCGTCGTAAGCGGGACCGTATCGACATCCGGTTGCCTCGATTGCACCTTCAATTGTCTTCGGTTATTTAGCTCCGCCCTCTCTTCCCCCCCGGCGACCGAAAAAGGTCACTTCCTCCGCGGTCACTCGCATCCCTAAACATGTCGGGGGAGACGAGGAGCGTCTCCGTCTGTAGTTTCGTTCAATCCAATGTCGACCTCCCTAAGCTCATCGTCGCTGGATTACGAAACGAGAATAATGCCTCGCTGAGTGCAAGACTAGGAACGACTCTGAGCCTCGTCTGGGATGTCGTTGACGGCGGGAGGTTGGGGTGTTTATCGAATGAAAATAGCCAATCTACAAATAGCTCCACTGTGTTGACCCAGCGATAAACATGCACTACCTTCGATTTGTCCTCAGTCAGCGAGTCGGAGCGCAGTGACCTTCCGTCGAGAGAATCCACCACGGATCCGACAGGAATCACCGGGAAGTCTCGCTCCTCCGTTCGGTTATAATTGTCCTCGAATCTGCAGGCGGGAATACCCGCCGAGTGAGAGCAAATGAGTGCTATCCTCCAGGTCGCTAGCTGTCAGCGCTGGCTGCCGGAGGTCGATTGGACACAAGGAGATCCTGAGGTTCTTTCGAGACCCTGATGAGGAGCTCAGGGCCCCTGTCATTACAAATTACTGAGGCACAACTGTTTCTGTGAGACCTCCTTCGACAACGTACTGCAGTCTTCCCGAGATGAGAGTTCAGCTCGCCAGAGAAACGCGTCATGGGAGCTCCGGGCTGACTTTCATGCCCAAGGAATGCTTGCTTCCGTGATCCTTGATTCCGCTCGCCGACGCATCGAGAATTGCAAGATATTAGTCCCGATTGTAGACATACATATTGTATTCTTTCCGCTGTCGAACCGTTTTCTCGCGTTATGATCGAGACCAAGCCCCGGTCGGCGCCGATGATTCCTCGCGTCGTTATCAGCACGAACACCGGTGTTCGTCGCGTATGGCGAGTCCGATCGGAAATTCATGAGAATCACTTCTGGCAAAGACGCTCCGATCACTTCGGATGGGAACAGAAATTTCGCTTAGGGACACGATTCTGGAAAAACTCTATCACTCGAGATATCCCTCCTCCGTGGCTGGTTCCTCGACACACGAGACACTTGGCTCAGTCGAGAACCTCTCATGGCGCGAGGGAGCGGACCGCAGCCGAAACGTCACGCCGGCGCCGCATGTTCTCAGTGTTCAATGACTTCATTCGGACGTAGGTACGCTGACAAGTTCGACTCGGGGGCCCTTTCGAGGTCCCATTGATGGTTTTGTAGACCTCTTTATTCAAGAGGCGCATTGAACCCCCGAGAACCGGATTTGCCATTCCTTCCCGGGAGAAATTCCTCTCGACAACACACTCTGTCGTTAGGCGAGCCCAAGACCTCAGAAACTCGCCGTCAGCAACAGAATTCGATGGCCGGAACAAGAGCGGGCGTCGTCCTGAAATAGAGTCCCGGTGCTAATTTTCCTCTGAGCTCGTTCCCGACTAATGTTGTTCAAACAATTGTATGCGGAGAAACCATAAGCTCCGTCGCGGGTTCATAACCTCTGCATTCGGAAGAACGAGGCAATTAACAACCAATCCGAAGAAGAGTGCAGTGGTCGTATTCTCGAATCACTCAATCGGCGACAGCAGCAGGCTGCAAGTACAGGGTAAAGTACTGCCGGTGAGTCACGAATACACCTACCTCGGGATAACATTGAGTGACGAGCAGAACTATCTCTCGAAACACGAAGAGAAGTTGAAAATGATGGCGAAGAAAACTCTTCACCAGATGCACGCCCAGATTCTCTGGGGATTCAACAAGTTTGAAATGTCCAGAGCTTACTGGAAAGGCGTCGCTGTCCCGAAGCTAACCTATGGCAATGCTGTCACGACAATGACTGCAAAGACCGCTGAAGCGTTAGAAAAAGCCCAGCGAGAGGCAGCTCGATGGGCTCTGAACATAACCGGATGGAGAGTTGCGAACGAGTTTCTATCATCCGAACTAAACTGGAGCTCCTTCGAAGAAAGGGAGGCCAAGAGTAAGCTCAGATATTTTGCAAGAATCCAATCTATGCCAGATTCACGATGGCCCAAGATGATGCTGAACGCAATGGATCTGCAGAAAATACGAACGAAGGCCTACGAGAAGATGGAGGCTCTCCGATCCAAGTTCGACTGCGACACACTGACGGTCGAACACGATGAGGAAAGAGGAGCACTCCTTGGAGTCTACTATCGGAGACTAGCCGAGAAAGTGAAGACCATGCAAGACAAGGCCTGGGAGGAAGGCATGGCAGGGAAATGACCCTCGAGATGTACCGAACCCACAAGGAGTCCAGAACAACTGCCACGCACATATACGACAATAGCAGAGGATCTGCTTTGCTGGCTCTTGCAAGAGCTGGAATCCTACCAACAAAATGCTTCAACATATTCCTCACTGCCTCCGACAACTACTGTGAAAGATGTGGAGTTCATCCTGAAACACTGGCACACGTGATCTTCAAATGCAATGAGTTCTACCACACCAATGAGGACCTCGCCGCTCGCCTCGGCCTAAGCAAAGAGCTGAATCCAGCATTGGTGAACGAAACGAAGCGTCTCCTAGAAGCATGGGATCGCGAAAGAAGAAAAGGATCCGCTGAGAAACTCGCGCCTGAAGTGAAAGGCTGATCGTGTAATATACACAAAAATCAGATCCGAATAAACCATAAACCATAAACTTCCTTCATCTGCTCAGTCTGGAGTTCTTAGTTTAAAAATTTCTTACTCCGCGTAGCGAATCGCATTAGGAGCTCACTAAGGTGTGAAAACCAAAAAGAGCCTTCTCCTTGGCCGGAGCGGTACTGTCGTTCCTCCGTATCGCGGCTCGGCCCGTCATTGTTATTGAGGTCCGAGCGCTTCCGCTCGGAGTTTCTATGGTCGTTTTCTCTGAGCAGCTCAACACATCTCCTCGACGTAGAGGCAAACAATTCTCAATAAGTTATTGATTCGCGTCAGACACTTCACCCCCTATCGCAGCTCGCTCCCTCAAGGCTGGAAGGTAGTCCGCTTGGAACTCAATCGCTGGGGCGTTTGTTCCGCTCGAATTGCATTCCCCCGACTGGACCAACTTCAGCATCAGGATGAAATCATTTGTGCGAAGCCCCCTTCTCGATGCGCCCCGCTCTTGACGTTGACTTAGAGGCTAGTCCACCGCTTCCATGCCCTCGAAGGCGAGTTCCGAAGCCGCACCGGTGTCAGCGTCGAATTCGTGGAGAACTTCCAACGTAAACAGACCGGTTCCGCTACGGTCCGCATCCTTTAAAATATCGCCGCAGCAGCCGATTCCTTCTTCCGCCAGCGAAAAGGCCGATTCGGATAGAGCCCGAGCCTCATCCCTCCATAGGATCATCATCATTATTGGAGTGAAAATACCTCAGGTATTAAAATCAGCTCTATGCAGCATATAAGAAACGGCTCGTCGCAGAGAGTCCCTCAAGAAGCTCTCCCTGTGTACTCGCTCCGAGAACCCAGCGGTTTATACGAGTCGCGACTTCATGGGGCACTACAGATGTTCCAATATTCTGAATACCGCGATGGAAGACATGAAAGCGTGCGTGTACCTACCTGCGTTGCGAATAGAAGGAAGCGATCAGAGGGCGAGCATTTCCGGCAGGTGCGGCTTGCAAGACGATCGCGGGATCCATAAGCCTTCGTATCTTTTCTTTAGGGGTTCGCTCGCTGGACAGGGTCGAGCGGATCCTGCGACCACCTGTTCCGTCCATGGAGCTCCCTGCAGGTGTTTCCGCTTGGCTTGCAGTCGTCGGGAACTTCTCATCAGGGGAGCCGGACGGTGATGAAGCGTCTTCCAGCGGCCCGTTCAATTAGTTGACCTCGTAGTGGGTAGTTTCTTCGGCTTCTTTCCGTGCGGAAAATATTCCAAGTTTCGATCGCCAAGATGAGTTTCCTTTCGGATCCTTCGGAAGCGCTTGCTCTCGGTCGAGCTTCCGTCGAAGGCACACATGCATAGCATATTCGGAAATATTCAAATTGCGAAACTGCTCTCGGCCGAGGGGTGTTTCAAATTCAATTCCGCACTGTCGAAATCCCGAAGTCATAACTCGTTCCTCTTGGGAGCATTCGTACGAGGCAAATCCGGAGCCCGAACCTCGAGGGTCGTGAACAACAACGACTCGAAGAAAAACACCGACGAGGAAAGCGTGTTGACTGTCGCGATCTGAACTATCAGCGATAAGGAGGCTCGAGACGGCGACGATGAGCGAGTAACTCGACACGATGATGAGTTCACGCTCAGTTATTCTCTCTTGTGGGTGAGCGACCGACGACGTTGCATCGGAGGCACGATGCGACTGCGAGGTGTTGGGAAGCGGAAGACAGCTCGATCAGGACGCTTCGCCGCGCTGCTCCGAAGCGATGATCGCCGTATCGAGCTCGAGTCCTCGCTCATGAACATCACCGGTCTTCGGACGGAGAATATTCGTAGCTCGCCCCCGCTGGGACTGACGGCATTCCGCTTAGCGGGTGTCCGCGTCCGTGGGTGACGACGAGACATTTCGACCGAAAGTACTCATCGTCACGGTACTAGATGTCCGGAAACAAGCCCTAATATGTTTGAACGAATATGTTTACGGAGATTTCCGGCAAGTCCCTCGGACGAACCGATAGCTCTCGCGTCGAATCATGAACCATCGGAGAGCAATCGACAGCTACAAGAGTTGAGAGATCCCTCAGGAGACTGGAATATTGAAACGAAAGTTTTTTCTCCCGTACCCTCCGAAAATCAGAGTGCTTATTCGTCCTGACGGGGCGAAACTGTACGGCTGCTCGGTTCCGGGCTTTTGCTCGCGAGGTGCGCTAGTGGAGGGCTTGAAGCTCCATCTTCTCTCCCCTTCCGAGTATGAGAGGCCATTGTCTTCGTATTCCGAATCGCTTTCCATACCTGTCAGCCGATGCTGACTGGCGAATCGTCCAACTCCGCCATTTCTGCGGCCACCAAACAATCAATCATCAGCTCTCCGACCGATCAAGAGCGAGCGATCCATTTCGGACTGCTCCGGTAGAGGCAGCGCAGGCAGGACAGGACGTCAGCATTCGAACCTGCATCTGTAGGTAGAAGCGCTGAATAGAACTTTTCACAAACTTAGTTGAATGGAGGTCGACGGAATTCTCCCCAATCCATTCCAGATCAGAGATCTCGATACCCACGAGAGTTTTCAGAGAAATCGAAGGCTCACGGAGAGACCGCGGGTTATTCCGACGCGATGCGACGCAGAGCTTTTCGGCGGTCAAGGGAGGTGCCTCCATGCAGGAGGCAAAGCTAGCTCATTTCCCTCCTAGACGCCCAAACCCGAACGGGACCGAATAAGGAAGACGAGGTTTATTCAAAGCTCACGGCTCAGAGTTAAGTGAGAGTGTTTTTTAGCTCAGTTGATGGTGTGAATTGTTTATTTATCCAAGTAGATAAATATCCACATATACGCTCAGAGTCGTATTGGGCTCTATTTATTGAGCTTCCGATGGTCCGTGAAGTAGGTGAAATCGTACCAGATGAATCTTCTTTCGATCTGTTTGGCTCAACCTCAATTTTCCATGGAAGCTCTCGGTCCGCGAACGAATGCCTCCTGAATCGAAACAGAATTTCCAATCGAACACCGGAGTTCTGATCTTGAGCCCGACTGAAAGGAGCCGGCAACCATCTGTTGAGAATCGCTTGTTGCTGACAGCTCATTATGGCACCTTGGTCTTGTAAGCTAAAGAAAACATTAGGCAAGCGACGAAGGGAACAGCAATCAATGCTCGACTCGAGCTTCGACGAGTGAGGAGAGAATTGAGGGATTTCTTTAAGTTTGCGACGTGACGCGCACACCTGCTCCGGAAAACGTCGCAATCTATATAATCAGCTTCCCTGTAAGTCGGCGATTCTATTTAATGGCTCGGACAAGCACGACCGGATTGGAGGTTTATTTGTTTATTCGAGCCCTGTATTCCTGCTCGTTGCTATGAGCGCGAGTTTAAAGTGCGCAGGAGGAGCGAAGAATGTTTGGATGAGGAATCGATTCCAAGCTCCGGATTTACACCGGTGAAAGATGGAAGCAAGGAATGAGGTCTCCGCAGGGATCAATTACTGCCGCAGCTGGTCGCTACATACGAATCTCGCTTCCTATGTAGGGTTGGCACCTATTTCTTTTCGGCTTCTGAGTGGCTGTTCAATTTCCCGCGATTCCCGCAGTCAGATGTTTGGCAGCAGCATTCCGCATTCCGACAACGAGCGCACGGAGCGGTGCGCTTCCGAAGTGCGTTGAAAAGAGCTCATTGCTCTCCGATCGAAAGTCAGAAGGCCCGACCAGATTCTCCGTGCCATCAATAGAATATATGGAGGGAAGAGATAAGAAGGAAGCCGAGAGCAAAGTCTGCCGAGAGCGACGGCGGCGCGGTGCCGCGATGGATCCTCCGACGGGCTCGGTCCTGGAGAAATAGAGCCCGATTTCGTGAAAGTTCCGGGAAATCGTCTCGCTATATCGAATGATTCGCGTTGCCATGAATTCACTCAATGTGGAGCATTGTAATCGAGCTCAGTGCTCTCCACGGACGTATTTTCGCCCAAAGAGTAAATTTTTCTGCCACGAGTATGTTTCGCGAGAGCCTCGGTGTTGCAAACTACTCTGCCCCGACAGAGATGGAAAGACGTCATCGGAGATGACACCTGTCGCAATTCTCGATAGGAACTCGCAGCCGCTCCGAATCACTCAGTCAGTCTCTTCGTCAGCTGTTCCACGAGGCAGCGGGACTCCAAGACATTCGCTCGTTGGAGCCTCTCGACGGGTGCGCGTGCAGCGTCATACCACATCAGCACCAACTGCCGCCGCCGCCGTCAACGGAGGAGCCGTGAGAAAGAAAAAACAATGCCGCAGGGCTTTCAGTTATAAATATTGTTTCGAAGCGCGAGGTACGCGCTCCGTTGCCTCGTTCACGATCCGAAACCGTCGGAGAAGCGGTGCGGTAGCGAGTAAGACAAGTCTGGCGAAGCGTAAAATTGATGAGAAACATATTTACGTTTGCTTGGTCATATTTATACACGCCGGGTGTCATCATCGCACAGCGTCGTTACCGACGTTCCGAGGGCTGACGTCCCGACAGTTCCAGGCGCTATTTTGGTGAATGCCGACGGGAGTGAGTATTTCCCGCGAAGCGCTACGGGAACCCTCGAGAGAAACGCCTGGAAACTCATATCCGTACATGTCACGCTCGGTCAACACGCTCGCGGCTCGTCCGGTCGGCTAAAGTGTACGAGTCAGTGCGAAAATGCGAACAACACACTGAGAATGTCTTCATACAGCATGCGCCTCCACCTAGATATGAGGAGATATACGATGTGCTCAGCCGGAATGCCAATTACTTGATCCCTGACATCGGCAGGCACTGATCGCGTGAAGAGCTCGGATGATCAATGAGCTTGACTGCAACAGCAGCTGAAAGTTCTCCTTCAAAAGACGCGCTACAGCGGCTCTGAATCCGACCTCTCACACGGCGGATTGGCACTTGAACTCGAGCCTACTCGACAGTTTTACGCCCTACCCGCTCCGGACGACCGATCAACGGCTCGAGTGCATAACTCGGCGCCAGTCTACGGGGAACTCGACGAAATAGTCCTCGTCGGGAGCTCGGTCGGT